AAGTTGTTTTTGTTTTAATAACGGGTTTTCTATAATTCAGCTTCGCAGGTTTCGAAAATAATGTTTATTTTTTTCTATCATGTAAGGATTTTTTACAAATCGGGAAGCAAAAAAAACTCTTACTTAGATCAAATTATTATTTCGTTTACCACAATGAACCTCTTTTATTATTATGTTTGGGCTATAGAACGATCGATGAGACTCTCACGTCGCGATTGGTCTAGAGAAACCTATAGCCAGGGGTTGTCAGCATTTTTAGCACAACAAAATGTGACCCGATTTCAATATAAATGATTCACTTGTGTAAAAGTACACATGACGTATTGTGAAAAATCTGTACGTGGTGGAGAAAATGGATATCATTTTCGGATTCAGCGTACAGAAATTACTGTAGAACATATAAAAGTTTCAATACAATAAAACCATCGCAGGCCTGTGATATTGACCGTTAACACAACTAACGTGCTTCTTCATTGCTTGCGTTACTGTTTACCTTACGTGTTGAACTTATTGTAAATCATAATGTAAATAACATAAAAAAAGATAATTGCTTTTTACACTTATAATAGATATATATATATATATATACACACATTGTTATTATATGACGCTTCGACTCATCACATGACTTAAGCACAAAACGTTCTGGTGCTTGAAGTGAGTTATATATAGTCAAAACTTCGCGTAATACGATATACATACATTACGATAAAATACTGAAAGCAGTTAACCTTATTATTTTTATAACATTTTTTTTATCATTCACAATCACTACCACTCTCACAAGAGAACTATAATATTTAACCAAAAGTGACGGACAGTTGACACTACTAATCTATCATCTACTAATTTATCATACTTAATAATAGTAATTACGTTCATGGTTCTTGTATTATTATTTATATTCGTCGGTGACATGCAGTTAACTCTGTTAATCTGATTCATGGTCACTGTTGATCATTAGTTGATAAGCTGACTGACAGCTAACATTACACATCTAATTCACGGCCATTTGTGCTGCTGGTAAAGTGACTAACAGTTAATACTGTTAGGTCGTTAAGAAATTAATGTCGCTTTTTTTTAATGAAAAAACCCGAACAATTTATATTTCAAAACAAAACATTTATTAAATGAAATATTCTCCATTCTTATCGATGATGCTATTCCATCTTACAATCAGGTTTTAATGCCCTGTTTAAAGAAATCACTTCGCTTTGAAGCAAAAAACATGTCGATGTCCTCTTTAACACTTTCCACATTTGCATACATTTTCCCATTAAGATGGTGTTGCAGCGAACGAAAGTGATGGTAATCTGATGGTGCCATATCTGGAGAAAATGGTGGGTGGTGGAGAACTTCCCAACCCAATTCCATAATCTTATCAAACCTGCCACAACTGGAAGTGCTTTGTCGTGGAGAAGAATGCCTTTCCGATTAACGAGCGAAGAGCGTTTCTGATGAAGGGCTTAATTTAAACGTTCCAGTTGCTGTTTGTTTGTTTGTAATTAAGCACAAAGCTACACAATGGGCTATCTGTGATCTGCCCACCACGGGTATCGAAGCCCGGATTCTAGCGTTGTAAGTCCACAGACATACCGCTGTGCCACTGGGGGGCTTCAGTTGCTGACTATAGATCTCTGTATTGACAGTTCATTGTGTATTGAGGAGTTTGAATTGAATTACTCCTTTGATGAGGTCGGAAGTGGTTTTTGTCTTGGACTGAGCCATTGTTTTTGGCGTTTAATATTCGCATAGAAAATTCATTTTTCATCACCGTTGATAATTCTGTCCAAAAATGGTTCACGCGCATTACCCGCCAGAAGAGACGAAGCAACGTTTACACGTTGTAAACAATGATCATAGGAGAATTCGTGAGGCACCCAAACACCTTCTTTATGGAGTTTTCCCATGTTCCTTAGATGTTTACGTATTGTTTCATAAGAGACATGCAATTTCAGGGCCATTTCACGAGTTTGTTGCCTTGGGTTAGACTCGACAAGCGTCTTCAAAGCATCAATATTAATTCCAACATATCGGCCCCTGCCATCACAGTTTTTAAGGCTAAAGTCACCCGAAAGAAATTTGCTGAACCGTAGTTGACACTTACGAACGTTCAAAACATTTCCATAAACTTCTTTGTGGCTACAGAGGCGTTGTTTCCCTTCTTGTATTCAAACAGCATTACATGCCGAATGTATGTCTCGTCGTGTGTCATCACTATAAGGAATTAGAGTATACTAAACTTTACACATTATATAGGCTACACTAACGTGACGTTTTGGTGATTCGTTTAACTATACACCTGGAAAAAAGTTAAGCACCCCCAAATATTTTTCAGGATTGCTTATTGAAAATAAGGTTTAATTTTCATGATGTTGAGCAATGTTCATAATTTCAAACATAATTAAAAGGATGTGAGCGTTCAGGTGTGACATTTATATCAGGCGCGTTTTTTTTCCCCACGTGCAACTTGCTCCCTTCTTCACGTCCAATATGCACTATTTTGTCGTGCATCAAATCCGTATTTAAGTCCCGAATTTC